CTCTCTCTCTCTCTCTCTCTCTCTCTCTCCTTTCCTCCCTCCCTCCCTCCCTCCCTCCTTCTCCACTGTGTGTGTGTGTCCTTGTGAGCTGTGTGTGTCTCTTATATCCCTGTTCTAACGAGAAAGCAAGAGAAGAATAATTTGCAGGGTTTTGTGAATGACCAGCTTGGTAACTTTCATGCACAAAAGTATTCATAGAGGGGTTATAACTACTAATTAAAGGATTGTTGAAATTGGATAGATCATAACACATTCATTCATGAAGATTTATTGCCCAGAATCAAAGTGAGTCAAAAATAAAAAAATAAATAAATAAATGCACCCGCCCAGCCCCGTGGAGGGTGGGATTACCATAATGACCCTTTGTGTTAAGCTAATAAACAAGGCAGAGTACATCAGCTCTCGACCTTAGGGGTGAAGGGTGATGCTCTCTGGTATTACTAATTAGCCCGCTGTCACCCACACGATAAGAATTACACTTGAGCTCCTATGATTTGACAGGATTCAATTTTAAATTTCATGCCTGAGGTCCTAAAGTGCTCTCTCACCCTGTGCATTTGCATATGATCCCTGACCAAGCAGCTACACATAGGGCTTTATGCAGGAAGACCCCGGCTGGAATTAGAATGCTTGCCCCTGAGCTGCGGAGAGAGCTCTGATCTGTCCTGTGAGCTCAGTTCACACAGCCAGCCTTTGCTTTCTAACCTGGTCTTGCTGAGCGTGCTGCTGTGGAAAACTGCGGGCTCTGACCTCTGACAGTGTGCTTTCTTTGACATGTTTATTCAATGCTTGCTACGTCTATCACTCGTCTTTGTGTCATAACTTGTTTAAAGTGGGGGTCCTGCATCCTGCTCCAAGCAGAATACAGCAGCAAGCTCCATTCACAGCATTTGGAGGCCCTGCTCTCAGAGGTCCGAACAGTCAGACAGGTAATTGTCCAAGGCTGTGGGGACATCCCTTTAAGGTATGGGCAAGAAACTGAGCCCCTAATACTTTGTGTGAACTTGATATTTGAAGATAGGATAATCTGATGTGCCCCTTAGCTTCATATATCGAGCATCGATATACCTGCCTCTCCAGGCATTTCCAATTCTTCCTTTACTAGTCAACGAAATGTGAATGTATTTAAATCATCTGCCTCTTTAGAAACCCTTAGTCTTTCCCAGAAATCACACCTGCTTGCAGTCCGACATGTTAGAGAGGGGCGCCACGTTTTTCCTTCATCTCATTGAACTCCCCAGCAAGAAATTTGGGAGAAAATACGTGGAATCTTACGATCATTGATGTAAACAAAGGGGTGCTGTGCAATCCACCCTCCCTACCTGCAGTATGTCTTTTTCCTTTAACCTCAAACCTGTGATCACGGACGTGTCATTTAGAAGGGCCCGGAGTGATGCTGAGGGAGGGCCTCTCTCTGCGCTGTTTCCTGGTCACTGGGACAGAAATGACAAAGGGGTCTGTCCATTACCGCTTCAATACAGTGCTCAATAGCAGGAGGAAATTGATGGCGCGGCTGTGCCATCGCATTGGGGAAACTTATGATGCGGACAATAGCACTTTCAATAAAAGGGCTCTTGATTTTCTATGTGTCAAACTGTTTTAATATTAGGGCATTTCTAGGTCAATGAAGGGTTAATGTAGCATCATAAATCATATCTCAACAAGAGCCCTAAGCTCACTGTGTGTAAAGAGTGGGCTGTTAAGGTCAAAAAAGCATCACAAAAAGAAAACACAGAATGTAGGGAGTAGGGCAACATGGAATTCACATTTCTCTTGCCGTCTCCAGCCAGACATCCACATAGCATACTAAGGAGAGTGAATAATAGGGGAATTAGAAATTAATGATTCTCTGCTATGTAAATGGCAATTAAAGGGCAGGACTGCTGGAGGCTGGGTCCGGAAACCCAGCTCCATTTGTCTGGGTGGAGACCAAGAGGTAAGGCAAAGGTTCTCTGCTGGAGGGGCTCACCTTCTGTCCACAGAACTCAGAACGCACAGACAGCATCACCTGGTCACTCTCTCACCACAGAAGTCCAGCAATGACCAAATAGGCTTAAATGTTCATTAAGTGCAGCCACATACAAGTGTTCCAAGGAGCCAGGCTGAGTACCACACTCTGGATAGCAGAATGCTAAACCTGGGGCATGTCCCTTAATCACAGCTGTGCACATTCCTGCTCCCTACAAAGCCACACCTTGTCTGTTATTTTTAAGTTTTCCTTACCTGAAAAGCTCTGGGGAAAACAAAACAAAACAAAACTATCTTTTCGCAGAAGTTTTCATCTGTTAAGGTTTTAAGTCACGAGAAATGAAGAAGGAAGGAAGGAAGGAAGGAAGGAAGGAAGGAAGGAAGGAAGGAAGGAAGGAAGGAAGGAAGAAA